GACTTATAAGCGGATCGACTTATATGCGAGTATATACTGTAGGTGCAAGGTTATGATGATCAAGGGTGCCTCTTCCAAAATTGTGAAATTTATGGCCCCAGGGTTATGGGTTCTGCGGGAAGGGGGGGGGGGGTCTCTATTGATTATACAGTGAAAGTGCATTATTTCTATGAAAATCTTCTTATTTAGCAGATAAACAAGGTATATAGTTATGATAAGCAAGGCCGCCTCTTAAAAAATTGTTAATATCTTGGCCCCTGAGTCAGGGGTTTTGGGGTTAATCTGGGGCTCTACTGATCATATAGGGAAAATACATAAATTATTTAAAAATCTTCTCTCCCTCTGTATATAAAGCAGATAACGTAGGTGTGTGGTTATGATGATCAAGGGTGCTTCTTCAAAAATTGTGAAATTTATGGCCCAAGGGTTAAGGGTTCTGTGGGAAGGGGGGAGAGCTCTTTTGATTATATAGTGAAAGTGCATTATTTCTTTGAAAATATTCTTCTCTGCTCCTAGGTATTTAGCAGATAAACCAAGTACAGTATAGAGTTATGATGATCAAGGATGCCTCTTCCAAAATTTTGAATATCTTGGCACCTGGGTCGGGGTTCTAGTGTTTGGGGCGGGGCTATATTGATCATATAAATGTAGTGAAAATGCATAAATTCTAAACCCCCCCCCCCCCCGCCTGTATATAGAGCAGATGAAGTAGTTGCATGGTTATGATGAGCAAAAATGTCTTTTCAAAGAGTTTGAAATTCATAACCCCAGGATCAGGGGTTTTGGTGTTAAGGTGAGGCTCTTTTGAATATATAGTAGAAATGCATTATTTCTTTGAAAATCTTCTCTGCCCATTGTTATTAAGGAAAGATATTAAGTGCATGGTTATGATGAGCAAGAATGTCTCTTCCAAAATTGAGAATATCTTGGCCCCTGGGTCAGGGACTCTAGTATTACGGTCGGGCTATATTGAATCTATAGTGAAAATGTATTATTTCTTTAAAAATCTTCTTCTCTGCTCCCGGGCATCTAGGAGGCAAACAGAGTATATAAAGTTGTAATAAGCAAGGGTGTTTTTACCAGATTTTGAAAATTCTGTACCTTTTGGTCAATTTATTAATTTCTACTGACAGAAGTTATTCCCCTTTGCTATTCACTTATGGCAGTTAATCACTGTAAATAATGTAACTTAAAAGGTCAATTAAATGACAGAATTATACAAGAATTTTAATTATATTTAATACAAAAAGGACTTTCATAGTTTTTAATGATCAGATAGACTTTTAAAAATATATAAATGAAAAGGGGACAAAAATACTGTATCTTTGTATATTAAATAATCTTCAAAGACTTAAAGAGGCCAATTTGAGGAGGAATGAAATGTGTTAACAAATAGTGCTCTAGAACGGTCGTTTTGTTTAGTCCGCATGAGGATAGTGACAAATGGGGGAAAGTACCGACAAATAGATAGATCAACTTTAAGATTTGTTACCGAGTACCAAATTAATATTTTGCTAGCGCTGATCCCTGATCGTCATATTTCTCTTGCTTTTGGGCAACATAGCTTCATTTATAAGCTTATTTTGTTTTTATCTATGGATCGTTACATTATACTCAGGTGACCTTTAAGGTCCTTTGGCCTCTTGTAAGTGAGATATGTGCTTTGTGCAACATTAAAACCTTTTGCAATTGTAGACTGTCGAACATGTACACCTGCTTCCAGTCGCACAATTTCCTTTTTTTGCGATGTGCATCATTAAGATGCAGCATATTTAAATAGCGTCATTTTTTTTAAAAAATACCAGAAACACAACCGAGAGCCCAAGCTTTTGCTAGACCTTTTTGTACCTGAAAGACGTGGATCAGAAACCAACAAAAGAAAAGTGTTAGAAAGACCAAATTTTAGCATTTTGCAAAGTAAGGTCTTTTTGAAACTTTTGTAGAAGTGCTATAAAGTTAACAATAGCTTTAACATGGTTAAAACTAATTAATTTTACTAGAATGAATCATTATCATCATAAGAAAAAAAAAAATTATACGTTTCTTTTTTCGAACTATATAAGCTAGTTCCATGTGGGAACAAAATGGTCTTAGCCTAAGAAGCTCATAAAACTCTGGTGACCGTTAAGGCCCATGACCCTCTTATTTTTTTCTTGTAAATATTTTTTGTGTATGGGTATGAAGCCCCCCCCCCCCCCAAAAAGAAATTCTTGACCTGCGTATACTATGTATCATGAGATTGATTGCCAATCGAAAGTAATTATATATATATATATATATATATATATATATATATATATATATATATATATATATATATATATATATATATATATATATATATTTATATATATATTGCTCCTTGGGAATTAACTTGACTAAACGAAGTTGTACATGTAGTCAAACTATTCCGTGACGAATATGTTAAACTCAAAATGTAAATTTGTAAACTTGAATCCTCTTCACCCACGGATACTCTATTGCAAGTTTGATTGAAATTGATTCAGTGGTTCTTGAGAAGTTGAAAATGCAAGTCACCTGAGTGACTCAGGTGACTTAAAAATTTGTCTAAGCACCTGAAAGAGAGTTTGCGTTCTCTAAGTGTGTGTGTGTGGGGAGGGGGGGGGGTCACTTTTCCTTATTTTACTAGATACACATTTGAAAACTGAAAATCTCTGGAGTGGGGAGCTTTTCCTAGTAGATCCACGCACGTGACAATAAGAGTGCATTTACATGTTTCACCCATGATTCAAATTCTGCATCTGTGTATTTCTGATTCTTTGATTCGCCCAAAAATTCTTATAGTCATATTACAAAGTATACATGGTATAGTATGATTATCAGAATTTCGGAAGGAATATAAGATAGATTTTAATCAGACTGTCGTCTATGTGAGTACTGCATTAATGTGGCATCACACGACGCATACAAACAGTTATAATTCTGAAGCTGCATGTGACCTATATTTTTTGAGATATCGTATAGCGGCGGGTTTCTTTAGCGGGTGTAATTTTTTACTCAAAGGCATGCCAATAATTTGGGCGGACACGATGTTCAATAAAGTTGCAAGCCAGTGACATTATTTGGTATTGCTTAACAAGAGTGCATGTTTCGGGTACCTAAGATACGTAAATATATGTCTTCTGTACGCTTGAATATAGAGTTACAATAGAGTTCAGAAAGGTACACTATTCAATAACGGACTGATCAAAATTATCTTTTCTTGTGTGTGCACAGTACCTCTATCTGTAAAGATGCATACTTAGCGACTAAAATTTTAGCCGGCTTCTACCAAATCGCTAAAATTAGCCAAAGTTAGCACCCCGCTAAAAAAATTCCGCTATACGGTAAGTTATCAGGAGTATCTTTTAAACTTGTCATACCTTGTTGCCGATTTTATTACATGGTGTTTTTTTTTCTTCAAACAAACTACTAGTCATGTTTCAGTTGCTGCAAATAACCTCATTTCCTGGAGGGGTGAACAGATTATTTTAAAGGTACATGTACCTCTATTCTCAAACAACTATAAATCTATTTTTTGTTTTTAAAATCTCATGGGTATTGATAGTAAAGATGGAACATTTAAACATGCTGTGGATGTTGCAAAGAGGCATTATTAACATGTACCAGAGGAAACTGAACTGCAGTAACATAATATTTTATCAATTGACTTTAGGCATCAGCTTATCTCCCTTGATATTCAGCTTGGCTGGATATTTGGAAGACATCAGTCCAAATATCCAGCCGAACCAAAGGTATCTCCATCAGGCACGTAGTGTCGTTTTTTGAAAGGGGTGGGAGGGGGGGGGGGTGTCAGGGAAAAAATTCTGGATCACCTGAAAAACTTGACAAGAATGGGGGGGGGGGGGGGGTAGGTCCCAACTTTTTCACAACCAATTTTTCTCCATACATTACTACATAATCCTGATTTTGAATATGCTCAGGTTTTTTCCCCCAACCTTTTCACAACCAAATTGTCCTCATACATTACTATATAACCCTAATGGACTTTTGCGAGAAGCGCGGACTTTTACAGTCGACGACTTACTTTTACGCTAGGGCAATCTACGGGAGCTCTTTTGCGATATAAATATTTAGCTGAACAATAAATTAAAAGGTAATAATGGGCAGTTTAGAAGCACATATTGCCTTGTCTAGGAAGGGAACTGCAACCATCCTATCCTCAACCACCTCCCTTTCCACCTTGATCAACTCCTGTCCAGTTTTCCTTTCGAAATGCTTTCTTTTCTTCCTTATTTAATTTCTGCACGCCTAACACCTTACCTATAACCACTAATAATGTTTTCTTATCTATTATCAATTCCGTAGCTCCGTACATAACACAGGTATGTCAAAGTAAGCCGTCGATTGTAAAAGTCAGCGCTTCTCGCAAAAGTCCAATGTTGACTATGCTCAGGTTTTTTTTTCCAACTTTTTCACAACCAAATTTTCTTCATACATTTTCGACTACGCTCAGGGTTTTTTAGGTCTTAAATCAAGGGCCTGGGCCTTTCCATATTTGGGGAAAATATCACATTTAATATTTTTCTACATAAATTCAAATCGGAGGTTTTCTTCTCTTTTTTTTTCATTTGCAAGGTACATGTATTAATTGACTTATTTTACATTCAGTCAATCAGTTTTTAGAGCATGCCTTTTAGATTTTTTTTTTTTTTTTTTTTGAACACCATTCCTGATATACAAGTTACCGAATTCGGACATTTTTTAACAATATTTGTTTGTTTTGATTTTCTTTTGGAATTTTTCTTTAATGAAATTGGGTAAAAGACATACTTTTTACCATTGGGAATGGGGCAGAATATTGGCCCTCTATGATCCCTGAAAAAACCCTGATTCTGCAACAAAAAAAAGGGTGGGAGGCAACCACCCATTCAATGATACCACGTGCCTGTCCATTTAGTACAGATTCAGGTTTATGCATATAATCCACTACAGTAGCAATTGTTTGAGGATGTTGAGGCTCAATATTGGATGAGAAATTTAATTATTTGATTTATGTACTCATGTAATTAAATATTACTGAACACTAACAATCATTCAATTCAACAAATTTGAAGGTATTTTTCCACCTGCAGGTCTTGAATTATACAAAGTATATAACTGGGAGTGATTAGTCTTGTCATCTGGAATTATAAGACTGGCCCACTCAGAGGTTTTCACAATGGATGCAAACCTCTCCTCTCCAAGACGAGGAATAAGTCCACAGGTATTCTTAAGATCGGCGACAACTTCTCCTGGGGGCATTGAACAAAATAAATGATGGTGAATGACAAACCATAAGTCCAAAATGGCAGAGAATTTCAATCTGTTATCATCAAATAGCTTTGAACCATCAGAATCCATTTTTAGTAAGAAATCATTTTGAGCGTCATACAATACAACATCATATGAAGTTCCATTAATGGCACAAACTGGAATCATTGATGTTTCCAAAGAATCATGTGATATAAATTCCTTATTTATAGTCATCCCCTTGTATTTGTAAATTGATAATGCTATGGCCTGCTTGTATAGTTTATTCACATTGTTCAAAGATGCATGGCTTTCCACCAAGTCGGTCATAGATTTGTTTTTCTCATAATTATTGTTTTCTTGATTGTTAGAGTTTCTCATGTTTTCTGGTGTTGTTTTCTTCCAAGAGAAGATGGCGCACTTGCTGTTGTCAACCTCAAAGAACATATTATTACTGCCTGGGAAAAGAACAATATCAGCTGGTCCATAGAAAAGGCGTGGACTTCCTAAACAAAACAAAAAACAACAAGATGTGTTTGTGAAACACTGATGCCCCCGTATGGCAGCTTATGTCGAAGGTTAAAGTTTCTCAAATGCAAGTCAAAATCCAGGCCAGGAGATAAAAAATGTTGATACCCAAAGAAAGATCTTGTCTCGATAAACACCTGTGAAATTTGAAAGACCTAGACACAACTGTTCAAAAGTTATGGTGAAGGTTAAAGTTTTTTAAATAAAGTCAAACGTCAAGGTCAAGGTCAAAGTGGTTGGTATCCAAAGGAAGATCTTGTCACAAGGATTACATATGTGAAGTATGAAAGCCCTAGCACCAACCATTCAAAAGTTATGGCCAAGGTTAAAGTTTTTCAAAAGTAGGTCAAACTCCTAGGTCAAGGTCAAAGGGTCAAAATGGTTGGTATCCAAAGGAAGGTCTTGTCACAAGGATTACATATGTGAAGTATGAAAGCCCTAGCATCAACCATTCATAAGTTATGGCCAAGGTTAAAGTTTTTCAAAAGTAGGTAAAACTCCTAGGTCAAGGTCAAAAGGTCAAAGTCGTTGGTATTCAAAGGAAGGTCTTGTCACAAGGATTACATATGTGAAGTATGAAAGCCCTAGCTCCAACCATTCAAAAGTTATGGCCAAGGTTAAAGTTTTTCAAAAGTAGGTCAAACTTCTAGGTCAAGTTCAAAAGGGTCAAAGTGGTTGATATCCAGAGGAAGGTCTTGTCACAAGGATTACATATGTGAAGTATGAAACCCTAAGCACCAACTGTTCAAAAGTTATGGCCAAGGTTAAAGTTTTTCAAAAGTAGGTCAAAGTCCAAGGTCAAGGTCAAAAGGTCAAAGTTGTTGGTATCCAAAAGAAGGCCTTGTCACAAAGAATACACATGTGAAGTTTGAAACCCCAAGCTCCAACTGTTCAGAAGTTATGGCCAAGGTTAAAGTCTCATAAAATTTTGCAAAAGTGGGTCAAACTCCAAGGTCAAGGTCAAAAGGTCAAATATGATGGTACCCAAAGAAAGGTCTTGTCACAAGGAATACACATGTGAAATATGAAAGTCATAGCTCCAACCAATCAAAAGTTATGGGCAAGGTTAAAGTTGACAACAGACAGACAGACAAACAGACAAACAAACAGACAAACAGATAAACAGACAAACAGACAGACAGGACAAAAACAATATACCCCTGGGATCTTTCGATCCGGGGGCATAAAAATTTAAAAATCTTAAAAAAATTTAAATCCTGACTATGCCAAAACAAGAAAATGCTAGTACAAGTAGTGCACATACATATAACATGCATAAAGAGAAATATTAGCAGGGAGAATATATTTTATGTACAACTGGAACTTGATCAAGATTTCAATTCTGAATTAATTCACTGCTAATTGTGCTGATGCTCTATACATGCTACATGCCTGTTCATTGAGCTACATGCACCTGCTCCCAATGCAATAAACATGGCAAATGGGTAATATATATACAGATGTATAAGCGATAACTTGGTTAATTCATGTACATAATAATGATTGGAACTATTATTTAAATAGAAATAAAAAATGGGCAAAAAAAACCCAAGAAATAATGGAAGGTTTATATTAATATCTTTTGTTCAATCATTCAAAGTAAAATATCCCATTTAATCCATATATTATACAGATGGAATATAGCCATGAAACAATTGACCTTTAACATTTCTTTCATATTTGAAGTTACAGAACATGGCTTTAAAGAAGAACTGGATGTTACTGGTTCAGATGTTAAAGGATGTATTTTGCCGAGATAACTTGAATTATACTTTTTAATTTTGACACTTTTATTGGATGCATTCATTTATCAATTAGAATAAAATATGAAGCAGAAAAATATGAGTGCACTGCAACCACTATTGAAATAACGACCACTATTGAAATAATTATTTCATAGTGGTTGAGAGTGCATTTCAAACCAAACACAGATCGTAACCACTATTGAAATAACGTTCACTATTGAAATAATTATTTCAATAGTGGTTGAGAGTGAATTTCAAACCAAACACAGTTTGTAACCACTATTGAAATAATGTTCACTACTGAAATAATTATTTCAAAAGTGGGAGAAAGTGCATTACAAAACCAAAAATGGGTTGCAACCACTATTGAAATAATGTTTATTATTGGAATAATTATTTCAATAGTGGTTGAAATGCATTTCAAAACCGAACACAGAATGCAACCACTATTGAAATAACGTTCATTGAAACAATGATTTCAATAGAGGTTTTGATTGCATTTCAAACCAAGCTGCAACCACTATTGAAATAAAAATCTCAAAAGTGATTGAAATCATTATTTTGATAGTTGCTGGCAGTGTTTTCAATACCAAAACCCCGTTGCAACCCTTTCTGAAATAAACCCCCTAAACGCAAAAAATATAAGGATAAATTGTTCATTACGTTTTCCAGCATAATATATATTTACGGAGTTTAAAATATGACGCGTAAATTTATGTATTCCTTTCTTTTCTATAAATTACCATTAATACACAGATATGTTTGATTTAACTGACGTACCTGAAATTCAAACAAAGCATGCAAATGTTATATGCAAGCTTTCGCTGAATCATGCCGACTCAGCAAAAGCTAACAGACAATCAATCAATATATGCAAGTTTTAAGTAATTTTGGTAAATATTGTTCATCTTTGTCATTGATTTAAAAGGAAAGGATCATAAATACACGTAATTGTAGAAATTGAATATCTACATTAAAAAGAAGAAGACTGACATCTATGTGCACAAACTTTCTGATGAAAATATGGTTATTTTTAATAAAAAAAATTTACATGTACAATAGAGGTAAATTCTCGCATATATTCATGGGCTTGCCTACACTACAAATATGGATAGTAAATCTAACGTCTACTCCTCAAGACATTAAAAAAACATAACTTAAAGGGGAATTTGTATAAGCATTACATGTATTACGATAGTGTGTGTTATTTCAATAGTGGTCACACATCATGTATATAAAACCGCTATCAAAATAAATACCACTATAATTATTGAAATCATTATTTCATTAGTGATCATTATTTTAATAGCAGTTGCATTAATACTACTGATATTGAAATAATATCTACTTTTGAAATAATTTTTTCAGTAGTCACTATTTCAATAGTGGTACCCACTATTGAAATAGTGATCACTACTGAAATAATTATTTCAATAGTTGATATTATTTCAACAGCGGTTTTATACATTTAACCACTATTGAAATAACAACCTCTTACATGTATGTTATAATGCTTATACTTATATAGTTTTCCTGAATAGATGATTTTAATGAATATATAAGCGAGAATTTACTTCTATTCTTTATCCTATTGATTAAAAATAACCATGTTTTCATCAGAAAGTTTGTATCCATAGGCGTCACATAGATTTCATTTTTTTTTTAAATGTAGATATTCTAATTTCTAAAACTATCTGTTTTTATAAACTTTTACTTTCCGCAATTGATAGCAATGATGAACCTTATATTCATAGCAAAATTACTTAAAATTACTAGATCACTTAAATCAGAGATATCCGTGTATTAATAGTATTTCTAGACAGAAATTAAAACATAGAATTACATATCATATTTTAAACTCAATAAATTAATTCATTATGTCGGGAAACATAATGAAGAATTTATCTTTATATTTTTTTTTCAAGAGTACGGCTATTTCAATAAGACATGCAATGTGGCTTGGGTATTGAAATCATTGTCAGCAACTATTGAAATCATTATTTCAATCACTAATGAAATCTTTATTTCAATCACTATTGAAATCTTTATTTCAATCACTATTGAAATCTTTATTTCAATAGTGAACATTATCTCAATACATGTAGTGGTTGCAGTCAAGTTAAGGTTTTGAAATGCATTCAAAACCTCTATTGAAATTATTGTTTCAATAGTAAACGTTATTTCAATAGTGGTTGCAACCTGTGTTGGGTTTTGAAATGCCCGTTCAACCACTATTGAAATAATTATTTCAATAGTGAACGTTATTTCAATAGTGGTTGCAACAGTGCACATATTTTTGAGAGGCATTGAAAATATTGCAGGAAACCAGACTTCTTGGGATTTTTCATAGACAATGAACATGATGAAAGGAAACTTTCTTTTTCTGAAAACTTATGTTCTTGAATTAAATTTTTTTATATTTGTTAAGAAGACTATCAAATTTACAAAGAATCAAAATGTAAATAGATAATACAGGTTTGTCCCTAAGAATTGAAATAGAAGGGGACATTCAAAAAGTAGAAGGGGGACTGGGGTTCATCCCTTACTGGGGAGTTTAGGAGGAATACCGAAATAACCGGGGGATTACATCATTATAGGCGGGGAAATTCCCCGACCCCCGGGTCTTAGAGACAACCCTGTAATAGGAGTTAGTGGGCAAAAAAATGATGCATATTTGATGAATAAAACCCGATGAGTTCCGTAAAAATGGCTGATACGTCAGCATAATCCCTAACTGTTGTTATTGAACCAGCTGATAGCAGCAATATGGATTTCAAAAAATCGCCATATGTAAATGTATTTATGATGAATTTTCCTAATTGTGTGAGCTTATAAACCTTATATATATATACATGTATATAAAAAAATAAATAACAAAGCCAACTATTTAGCCATGAATTGGCATGAAAGTGAATATATAACAATGTTTCATGCAACATGTACATTGGTGCCAGTGTATACCTATGTATGTAGTTCCAAGTTGAATATTCTCTCCACATCCACAGAGACAGACATCTGTTATTCCTGGTGTTGTCTTATCTAAGAAGTAGTAAGAAGTTGTTGGCAACAGTTGAGCCAGTAAATGATTGGTTAGCAGGGCTCTAGACTTGGCCTCTGTTTCATCGCTTCCATCAGATGTTAAAGCAGACAGACTTCTCTCATGAATTTCTGTAATGTAAAAAAGAATTTAGTACATATATAACTATTATATATATGCAATTTTTAAAATGATGTGATTCAAACTAGGGTTGTCCTTTTAAGACAGAATGACCAAGGAACATTGTCCAAATTGCACTGTGTTGTTTTCAGGATATATCCTCATGTCAAAAAAAGTTACTTTCGTTTTTAAAAAAGACTTTCCTATGTTTTCTTTTTCACTATATAGCTATGGTTAGAACAATAATAAAACTTTTGTGCCAATTGACATTAATCTTGTCTATTACAACTTTAGTACAAGGTTAATACAAACCTCTGGGATATGTTTAAGATCATAGTCACTAAACTACCTGCTATAAGATATTTTAACTCTCTTAAAAATGCTGATCAACCTACCACTACACATATATATTGGTACAAACATCCCAGTATTCATACAAAGCTAGGCAAAGTAAAACAAAAAATCATGTGTAAAATTAACATTAAATTTTATAATTCCCTAAGCATGCCTAGTAAAAGAATATAGTTTCAGAATCTGTATTTAGTATACCATATACCGGTTATCAATTTATGATTAATTGAAATGTGAAGCAGTAATGTAAGTTGTCATTTTTTAATTTGGTACAGGATCTAATAGTTTATTTTATACTAGCTTTTTCTACAGCAGCTAGGTTAATTATGGAATCAAAAATTGTAGCTGTATGTAGAGGTATGCAGCAGGTACAATTTTTAATGCATGCACTCCTGGTCACAAGCAATCTATTATAATGTATTATTTCTGTAAATTTTGAAAAAAATTATCAAATAGTTTCAGAGATCTATAATCTCCGGACAAATTGAGCTTGTGGACAGACATACAGAGGTATTGATTCCTGACAACACCCAACCCCCACTCCTCTAACAAAAAAAAAAACAAAACAAAACAAAACAAAACAAAACAAAAACTTTATGCTAATAAACACTATATAAAACAACTCTACAGGAACAATATATAAGAACATGGAATTTAATTGCATGTGTCAGAGGTTGATCAGAACAGGCCCTCAGTCTTCGCCAAATTTTTTTTCAGTACATGCCCCTAGGGCAGATTAAACCACTTATTACGCTAGCCCGAACAAATATTTACATGCCAAGAATTTTATCAAGTAATATTCTTATTTGTCTTTTCATGTCAAGGAAATGATCTGAAATTCATTTCTATCGATCTATTGTCTCGCCATTATTTATATTTTTTTCAAACCTGTACACATTTTGTGTCTCCTTTGCAAAAGAGTTCCTTGGAAATCACGGTAGAATAAACTATTGTTAAAATTTTATTTGGTGGTTTACTTTAAATGAAAAATCAGACTTTTAAGTACATTTAATGTTATTTGTATTATTTAATTTGATAATACGGAGGCTTAGGCCTCAGAATTTACATGCCCTTCGGGCTTGTAAGTATGCAATTTCCACATGCCCGCTTCCAATTTTACCATGTCCTGGGCTTCGGACTCCCGGGATTTGTTGAAGACTGGGCCCTTGGCAAATGTACATGCTACGTAACTTACAAATGATGTATATCATACTTGTTATATGAAAGAAGGGGGCCTCAAGGCTGCCATCAGACCCTGCCTACTTTTTGCGCACCCCCCCCCCCTCCCCACCTTCAATTCTTAGATCAGAGCCTGATAAAGGTCTCCTTAGCATGATTAGTAATTAACATTATCATACCAAACATATCTTCAGGTATTACCACAAAACAAAATCATTCAGTACATAAAGAACGGATAAAAATTGAACATGCTGGAAAATTAAATGAGCACAGTGCAAAATACATGGAAAATGAAAGTAGAAAGTGTGCATTGAACTTCAACATGTATAAAAGCTGTAATTTTTACCATGTTCACCATGCTTAGTTTACTAAACTTTTCTTTCAGTTGAACAGGTATCATATTAAAACTTGTCTACGGGTTGTTGTAATGATGAAGGCAAGACACTCACAGTTCTTACCAGTGTTCGAAATTCAGAATTTTTTTCTATGGGTCCAAAGGACCCACAGAGAAAGGGACCACACGAGTCCTTCCAGGGCAGCGTAGGCCCAAAAATAATACCATAAAATATTTGGGAAAAATAAACTTTTACGTATTGATGATCTCGGTAAGTTTATAGCTTCATATGAAATATGTCAATTTAATAAAGGGTAACTACAGCTCGCAAGTATTAACAATATGAAACGGTAAAACATTAATCGTCAAACAGTCTTACTTGGTCATATATAACATGTAAATAGTTTAACGTGTTTAGATTTTTCCTCGGAATTACAATTTCTGTTTTTAAAATCGGCGGGTAGAAAATTACACAGGTTTCTTAGATTACCACAATATGTTGTTAAAATGTACTTAAGTATACTTGGACAATTTTCCGTGGAAAGTTTGTAACCGCATACATATAGCATAAATCTATTCCACGCAGGAACAAAAATCAAATCTTCAGTATTTATTTAAAATGCACATGAAAAGAAGAATTGATACAATCTTGATAAAAATAACAAGTTTTACCCATTTTAAGTCCAATTTCTTTTAAAGACGCTCATTGGTTAATTTGTTTAATATATCCAATTAAAATGCAGGAAAGATATAAAAGCTAATGTAAATGCATAAAACCAATATACGTTAACTTCAATCGCAACTTCTAAAGCCTTTCCAACAAGCGGTAAAGAAAAACAACAGTGTATTTTTTCAAGCTCGCCGGAAAGGTCCGAGATGTGATTGACTTTAACTTGTTTCCCGACAAATCATCATCGGCCCAAAATTATTTCAAGGACCCATTTAGTCATACTATTCGTGAGTCCTTCCGTTTGTACGTCGGCGCAGGGCCGACGGGCCGACGCTAATTTCGAACACTGGTTCTTACCTTTTTCTTCGACAAATCGCTCAAGAGCGGATACAGCCAGCATTTCCTCAGATTCAATAAAATCACCATTCATATATTTCTCAAGAGTTTCGTAGCCTTTCGCAAATATGACCTTTGCAAACGTGTGTCGTCCAATTTTCTTATTATCTCTGCATGGGAAAAAATTCCAACAGCAATTCCCAGTGAATGTCTCAGCAAATGGCACATTTTCTTCGTCTTCAAATTTATCGATGTCCGACTTTTGATATCCAACTGCTTCGATTGTTTTCAACGGGTAACTGGCACTGATATTTAATTTTTTCAATTCTTTAATTAATCTTTTCCTCTGACTACTTGAAAATTTGCGTTTATAGTGTACATCAACAGGCAGAGTCACTGTCCGAAATCTAAAAGACCACTTCAGACATTTGACTACTTCCATTTTTTGTAACCAAGTCGGTTCGCCCCAGTAACATTTAAACCCGGGCGTTTTGTTCCAAGTTAACTTTCGGGGTAATTTTCGGATAAATACACATGTGACACATAATGTCATATGAACATATTCTTTCTATGCATATAAACTTCTAATTTTGAAAGCTGCTGTGGACAAGAGATGGGAAAATGGCAACGTAAATCTGTCGTTATTTCGATTGTTGACAGACGGCTTTCCTGTAATGTGAAGTTAGCGAACAGTGATCATTCTCAAAAGTCCATCTAAACAATTCAAAATGTAAGCAGAGCCAACACGGATTTCTGAAAAAAGAGATGGAATCAGGTGCAATGGAGGAGTACGCATCCCCTGTAGACCAGTCACACCCACCGCATGCCCCTTGTCATAATCGGATAAACGGAAAAATCCATAGACAATTCAGTATGAAGATATAATAGCCTAACAATCTCTGTGAAAGGCGTCAACCATCATATTCTGCCTAAGTAGATCATGCTCTTGAATATTTTATCAACTGGGAAACATAAACTCCATATGCATATCAATAGGCCATTATCTTTATACTGATACTGACTGACTATAAATTTCTAAATTTACACCATCGTGACTAAGGGCATATGCATACATCTGATGTGACTGATCGACAGGGGATCCTTACTCCTCAAAGACACCTTAACCCCCCCCCCCTTCTGATATTCTTAGAAGTCCGTGTTTGCTTTGCTCGCAAACTCTGTTGTTTCATTTAACTTTCGACCATGATCATGATGATTACTCAGTCTAATTAAAATTAGATGTTCCGAATTCGCTACCGATGTTTGAGAAGCGGTAGCGGATTCGGAACATCTAATTTTAAATTAGATTGGATGATTACTCTTAGTTATTTAAAATTTCAATTCGCAAGACATATTTAATGTTCTATGCACACTTTTATATCAAAGGAGACCACAATAGAATATCAATTTTCATGATAATTATACAATTATTTATGTTTTCCCTTATTAGGATTATGTAGATACCTGAATAGTACAATAGTACTAGCCCCAAAGGCGAGGTGAGTATTGTACTTCGAAGGTGGCTTAATAATCGTACTGACTGAAAAATAACAAAAATTGTTTTATTCCATGATTCAATGATTAAATGAAACAAACACTTAAAGCAAGCTATGTCATCTTGTTTACATTTTGTTAAGTCGTAGCCAAACGTAATGAAAGAAGTGGGGTTAAATAAAGAAACCAAATGCGACGCAGAAAAAAAAATAAATGTCAGACAGGTAGGATTGATTTTGAGAAGAAGACTGGGCAATATAAAAATATTGACAACTTACCTGAACAAATCTTTAATTACCCCCCTAAAGGGGAGATACTTCTAGAAACTACCCATTTTTTTTTTTTATAGACTTAGGTGAGTCGCGGCCGTAATTCGAACACACGACCTTCCCATCACGGAACGTGTGTTCTTCTGAGGGGAAGAATGTTGCAACTGAAATAACCAGAACCGTTTGTATCAATTCAAATTTCAGGATCTATTTTTAATCCAATGAAGAGAAAATAAAATCCCTATGGTAACCTGGAAGGTCACTTGCAATTGAACATGACGTAACTTTTTTCTACAATGTTGGATCTCAGCCAATCAGATAGTAAGGGGTTATAAAATCAAATATTAAAAAATATTAGTTTGGATAATTTTTCTTTTATGGTTTGGATTAAATTTCAAATATTACAGTACTTGTGTATAACCAGTCGTAATAGTATTAAAATGACAATGACATTCTTTCTTACCTAATCCTATTTTGTATACATGTTTACAATATTGCAAAATGTATAATATGCATGAAATGAACAAACCCCTACATGGATGAATCACTGCTAGTGAGCCATGTCTTGTTAACACCAGCGTATCTATTCCACATATAAAAAATAACAGATAAATGAATAGCAAAACACAATAATTCGGTCTAGTGAAGGAGTTGACTGGTTTGAAAACTGGATCGATCAAGCATTTCTCTAACTTTTCAATCGTCAACTTCCCTTACTTATGCAGCAATATACCTTCATCACCTGCATACGGGGTTTATATCTCTCAGTTGATTCGATACACAAGATCATTCTCTACGTATGAACGATTTCTAATAAGAGGTAAGTTATTGACAAACAAGTTGATGAAACAAGAATATCAACAATCTCGTTTAAAGTCGTCATTTTGTACGATCTATGGTCGATACAATGACCTCATCAGCAAGTACAATTTATCATTAAGTCAAATACTGACTGACATTTTTCATACTAATTGTTAGGTCATTATTTACACACTGAATTGTCGACGAATTTTTCCGCTATTTCCCGATCATGTCAAGGAGCACAGGGCGGGTGTGACCGGTCGGCAGGGAATGCTCACTCCTCCATGGCACCTGATCCCACCTCTGATGTTTTAGAGGTCTGTGTTTGCTCTGCTCCAAAATTTGTATTGTTTAATGGAATTTTGAGCTTAAATATTGTTCGTGATCTCCATATATTTCATAAATAAAGGTTGATAGTCATTGTGATGACTCTAATAAGCTCGATTCAAACCCTACAGACTGTACTTTGGCCATGGACTTCGAATGACATGACTACGAAATCTTTTATATATACTAGATGAAATCCCGCGCAAGCGCGGGGAATTGAATTTATACCACTACCGACAGAAAATATATTGTAGTTATTTTCTACTGACAGTCTACAGGGTTATAGCAGGAAGAAATACTTTGTTCAAAATCCCGCATGCCCTCCCCCCCCCCCCCCTTTCGTAAAAACTTGAAAAAATAACAATTTCATTAATTGATGTTTATTGTGAAACCTGTTATACTATGTTCATGATGTTATGGATATTGTACTTCAGATGCTCTTATATCATTTCCGTCAAGGATAAAAGCAGCGAATATTCACATTTTACTGATAAATTGATTTTTTGGGGGGGGGGGTAAAAATTCACAGGTACTTGGGTCTTGGTTTATGTATATGTATGTACCTTATTGATATGTAAAAAATGTACTTTACTTTATTTTTTTTTTTTACATATCAATAAGGTACATACATATATATAATCCAAGACGCAAGTACCTGTGTAAAAATTAGCTTTTAACGCCCTTTAAATAGGCCGAGTATTTGATACAAAAGACTGTATTCAGAAAAAAAACTGAAATGTATTGATTAAAGCACAAAATTTTAAAGCTTTAATTGTATTTGAACAATGTCTTATTCATTAATTTTCTCTTTTCATGTAAGCAAGTTTATTACGAAGTGGAAATTGTACTTCGGGTTCGTCGCCACGATGCTCTCGGTGAGGCATTTTACCGATAAATTTATTAGGAAAACCTACTACATATATGTAACAGTCTTTCGATATATAAATATATTCACAACTTATAGTGTTATCAACGATTTACCATTATTTCAATGACCATTCACACATCAGCTTTTTTTATGTTCGTCTCGTTTTTCTTTTTAACATCGGGCTCGATGCTATATGATGTTCTAGAAGCTTCCGTCAATATTAAGATCGGTGAATGACAAAAATAATTTGCACATTTCCCTTTTTAATCGGTTATCACAACTTATTTCTTTTATGTCTTTTAAATCAAGTTTTGATTGAATAATTCAGTGATGACGTTTTATGAAATAAATAAACGACTGCTTGTTGTCAGTTTAATTGAAAATTGCCAGAAACTTAGATCCGCCAACCGGAAACGCCACCGTACTCACGTTTTTGCTATTTCATGGCTCTTTATAGAAAATAAAAGTAGACTTTTAATTTAATGTACGATACTTACTATGTGAGTGAAATCTAAATATAGTTTACGGACATCATCTTGTATCTAGTGTATTCATAGAGGAGTAAGTAAGAACTCTGGTACACCCGTTTCTGAGTTTATTTGCAAAATTTATTAATTTATAAGTATAGATATATATACAGCTGATGATTTAAATGAAGAACTATAGAAATGCTTCTATATGTTTTGTTATCAGGCGCTTACGTTATAGAGAAATATACATGTAAGTATCAGTGTCCTTCATCACTGCATTATAGCTTTGATTTTTCTTGTATTTTTTATATCTTTTTTTCCACTGTACCAACGTTTGTTTATTTCATTTCCATTTCATATTTTTTTTGTTCATATTTATTATTTCTTAAAATTGTTAACATTTCTAGAAGGAAGGTGGTTTTGTTTCCATTCATGATCGTTTATATATCTTCATATTTTATGTAGATGATGTTAATGTTCTTGGTGTGTCCTTTAAAGATCATTTGAACAATCTTGAGGCCATCATTAAAAATATCCTCGTTTCCCCTAACCCGACCCTAGAAATTGAAGTTGGGTAGGTAGGTAGGTAGGTAAATATTTTTTTTTCTGACAGCAGCTTTGAAAATACATTCTGAATTTCTAATAAGAACGGGTTTTGATGAAATTGTATTTCATAAAAGTTGATAAAAATTAAAAAAAAAAATATTTGAATAATCTTCTTAAAAAAACTTTTCAGTCGGCAGGATTTAATTGGGTCGGTCGCGTTAGGGGAAACAAAGGTATTATTATTTTGGCCTGATGAAGTTTTTTTTAAGAAGATTTGAAGACCTGACCTTATAACCTGATGATCTTATAACCTGAAGCCCAAGCCCAAGCCAAAGAAGTGTTACTTATTCAGTAGAAAGTGCGAGTTCTTGGGCACGGAAAATACTCGAGACAGATAATGAGGCTGGCTATGCTTATTATGAAGAACATGTACAAGGCTATGCTGATATTTCAAATTGACTGTACCATGTAGCCGACAAGTTAAGCAATATTCAATGGAACACGGAACACTAAAAGACATTTTAACTCTATAAAATACGGTGTTATCATCAGCACCATGTCTTGCTTTCCCAATTCGTACTCACAACTTTATTTTAGACACTGACCCAGCTGACCCGACAATAGGGACCGAGCTCATACAGTTGCAGAATGGAAAGAAAGGAATCAT